TTGAAATGTTACCCACAGGTCCCAGACAATGAAACTCAGCATAAAAGCCGAGCACCTGGTACCAGAAGAAAAGCTGTTTCCTATTTAATTGCCAATTTATTGAAGAGAAACATGGACTACAAACACACGGGAGTGGTGAAACTGAGGAAATGGTATCTGAAGAAGCTGTGGGCATGTGTCCTTGGTTCAGGCTGATAGCTCCTGATGGCTTCCCGGGGAGGGGATGGAGCACATTGCGTTGCACGTGTCGTGCAGAGGTTTGCTGCTTGCCTTTGTAGATTTCCCAGCCCAGACTTGTCTGACTCTCACAGTGTCGTGGTTTATTTTCAGGCTATCTCCCCCCCACCAGCAGCACAGGGATTGGGGAATGGGGGTTTCCCAGTCAGCTCACCACATATTACCTTTGCGGCTCCTTTCATCTCAGGGGAGAAGAACTCCTCACACTCCTCCCCTGATGCCAGGTCTCTCCCAGTGGAGACAGCCTTCCATGAATCCGCCTGGCATAAGTCCTTCCCATGGGCTGCAGATTTCTTCTCCAAGTGCTCCATTGTGGGTCCCTTCCTTGGGCATGCAGTCCTTCAAGAGCAGGCTGCTCCAGCATGGGTGTCCCATGGAGTGACAGGCTTCTTCGGCACAGCCTCCTGCTCCAGCGTGGAGGGCCCCATGGACCGTAGATGAATCTCTGCCCATTGCCTCCCTCCATTGTTGCAGAGGCACAGCCTGCCCTCTCACCATGGGCTGCAGGGGAACCTTTGCTCCATCAAACCTCCTGACTTCCTTTCTTCACTGAATTTTGGTGTCTGCCTTGTTGTCTCTCCCACATCCCACTCCACTCTCCACACTGAAACTCTCCACCTTCCTCTTCCCTTCCTCTGCTACTTCTTTTGTGTTTTCCCCTCTTAAACATGTTAATTGTTGCCTTGGACAGAGATGGATCTGAGCTGGAGCTGGAGGAGCTTCTCTCGAAGCTTCCCACAAAAGCCATCCCTGTGGCACTTCCATCACTAACCAAAACCCCACACCACAAAAACCCAAAATGCACTCTCAGAGTTTGGGCAGAGACAAGCAGGGCTGCCACTGCCCAGCTCTGCTCTTCCTTCCCTACTCCCTCTCCACAGAGTCCATGAGGTTTACAACAGCTCAGGTCAGTTTCTGCTGCCTTATTTGACAGAAACTGTGTTTGGGAAGTCCCAGTCTGTGTTGTGGTTGATGGTGAGGGGTTCTCCCTTCTCTCCTGCCTCAGCAAGGCCTGGTCTGAAGAATGGGTACAGCTTTGTTGACCCTTTGATGGGGATTTTCAGGATACAGTCTGAAGTCCCAATGTCATAGAAGGACAGTGTGTTCTGCTTCAAATCCAGGTGCAGCCCAACCACTGTTAGTTGGTCAGTATGTCTGCACATCTTGGCCTTGGCCTCCTCAGGCCAGTACTCCCCTTCAACCCTCCTCAATGACCAGATCCCATCTTCAGGCAGTTCCTTCCAGCTCCTCTCTTTCAGTCTGTCCCTCGCGGTTTCCGTCAGCACCCCCAGCTCCCAGTCCAGCCCATCCCACACCTTCACCTCCCAGTAATGGTACCCAAAGGCAAAGCCTTCCCTCCCCACCACAGCAGGGAACTGGCCCTTGATGGTGGGTCTGTGGGCCGAGGGCTTGTGCTCAACTGTTCTCTGGTCAGAGGACACCGCAAGCTCAGGGTGCTTCCATGCTTCATCCAGGGTGATGGGCACTGGGTAGAGAGAGGAGGAGCTGTTAGTGACAACTGGGCAAGATGGCCAGAAGTAGAGATCATCATGAGAATAAGGACAAGCAGACTGTTAGTGAAAGCACTGGAAGGACTGCGCCTGCTCCCAAGTCAACCTGGAGTCCAGGCATGGCTTCTAGCCCAAGGGTGATGAAGCCTTTCTGTCAGACAAGGAAGCACAGCTTCATTCCCAAGCCTGCAGCACACAGGTCCGTAATTCTGTACTGTGAGAACTCAGCCATGGATAAGGCTAGATGCAAGGGAGTGTCCAGCCCACATCCATATGCCACTACTCAGCAGAGAGCAAGGTTTTGTCCAGCTTGTTCCAAAAGGAACAAAGGACACTCATTCCCAGTGCCGATATCTTTCCTTATCTTCCAGTCCTCCTTCCTGATTCCACCTCCACAAACTTACCCATGCAGCTTCGAGCTTTTCTGAACTCTGTTAAAAAAGAAAACCCAAATCAAAAGTGAATATGTTGTGTTCCATGGCCAAAACACCCATTCTGGGTCCATCTCCCTTGCATGATATTGCTGTAGTGCTCTGGGGTGCTCTACCTCCCAGGATGTGCATCACATGCCCCCAGATGCACCACAGGGAAATCAAGAAGCTTTGAGACAAGCTCTCCGACCCTGCAATACCCACTTTGCTATGGGAGAAGCTGGGAGACTGTTTATTCCCATCTGGAGTCACTGATCTCTCCTCCATCCAGAGCTCACCCAAGTGCCCCATGGGGATGGGGCTGTGCTTTGCTAGGACTGTGGGTTCGAGGGAAGATGCTGCTCCCAGCCACAGACAGACTTGCATACAAAGAGTCAGAGGAAAGGAAGATGCCTTGACTTACCTAGCTCTCTGCTCAGTGCATCTGAAACAGAAACACAGAGTGTTATGGCCTGGTGTTTGGTCAGTGAGAGAGCTCTGCCACTGCTGGACACAGGTAGAGGCCCAGGGAGAATAATAATGACTGCAGAGCAGGATAGCTGGTCACTATCTATCCCTAACTCTTGGATACAACAGCGGGACACAAACAGCTTGCACTTCTGCCTTCCCAAGGGCAGTGCAGTTCTGTTTTCCACAATGGCAACACCCTTTCCATTTCCCACTGAAATGGTCTCTTACCACATCGAGTCTTCAGGTCTTCATGTTCTGCAACAGAAAGAGGAGAAAAACATTTCTGTTTTCCTTGTTGAAGGTTTGAAGGAAGAGTTTCTCAGATGTCCCTGCATCAGATCTGCATGGCAGCATGGCAGGGCTTGCAGGGACTGCAGGGTCATTTGACTCCTGAGGACAGTGCCCTGGAGGAGCCAGAGAAGCCCATGCCCTCTCCATATAAGTGAGGTGAGCACTGGTGATGGCTGTAGCCATGGATTTTGGTCTGCAGACATCTTGTATGGAATTTTCTTACTGTTGCCCAGTTATGAGAATGAAAAAGAGGTTGTAAAAGGAGAGGGCACCTTGGTAGAGTACAAGAGTGATGAAGAGGAGCTACCTGGATGGGAAGAAGGTTACATGATGCTTGGGAAAACCCAAGTGGGACTTAGTGTGGAAAGGGAAAGGGTCGTTCTACTGTACCTGCATCCAGAGTGCCTTTTGCAAGTTCTGTACAGCAAGGGGAAAGGAAAAAAAAAAAAAAAAGCACAAGTGTTAGCCAGCGAGTAATGGCTTGGCATCCACAACACACTCTCCAGGGGATCACAGCTGGTGAGGCATAAGGTGGTCATGGCTCTGAAATCTGCCTTCAGGTTGCTTAATCCTTTGGTCCCACACACAGACAAGAGATGGGGTTGTTCTTAAGTTCTCACCTGATGCCCACCCTGTGTCTTCTGTCCCACACTAATGCTAGGAGGTAGTAGGTTCCCCCCAATGATTTTGAAGTGGTGAACTACCACATCCTTTCCTGTACAGTTTGGGTCCTGGGAAAAGGGCACTGAGGCCTCCAGAGGGTCATGCTCCTGCTGCTTGTGATAGATGAAGGGATGAGAGCAGAGAGGGGATTTGAAGCCACTTCAGAGAGAAGTCTCCAGAGGAAGGAACTATTCTCTTTCTTTGCTGGAGGCTAGTGAGCCAAAGGGCTCTGAGGACTGTGCCTTTGTTCACATCTTCCTAAACTCTTCAGCTGAGATAAGAGGATGAGTATGTTAGCTTTACTCTGTGGTTGCAAGAAAAGTTCTCTCCAGCTGCAGGAGGGAAGGTGCTTGTGTGTGGGCATCGAAGTGGGCACTCAGTAAGAGAAATCTGCCTTACCGTACTCCCGTAATATCCTTTCCTCACAGGATCTTTTCTTAGAAGCCCTCTGTTTTGCTGTAATGTTCAAAGAAGAAATGAAATAAATACTGAAGCACAAAGGAAATACCAGGAAGGAGATACTGATGTTGTACATGAATTGGATGCAAAAAGGCTCTAAATTCAGCCGGAGCATGTCCTAGCAAGTTGGCTGGTCAAGGGGAGGGTGTGACATCTCATGCTGGGATGGGGCAGAACATAAGAACTTGTATTTAACCCAAATATGTTGCATTGCATGAAGAAGCTCTTGTCCCAGGTTCTGCCACTCTATCGTTGTTCCTATTGCATCACCAGCTTCGTTATTGTGTTGCAGTGTAAGGAATACTGGACATAACCTCTTTCAATGTTGCCATTCATGTTTCATCAGCAATCTTTATTCCCCACCTTGAGCCCTGACTGGTCTGAACCCTCTAGGGTGATGGGATTGGGTTGGGGCATGCGAGACAGAGGCCACTATGCTCAGCCGTGGGACTATGACCACATTCATAGCTGAGTTCAGACTTTTTGCAGGTCTTTTGTCATATCTCCCCACCCTGAGTGGATATCTCCATCCCCACAGGTGCCCAGCATGGTATGGAAGGACATCTGAGCTATTTTGTCTTGTTCAGTGACTCTTCCTCCTTCACAAGGAGGTTGCAGTGAGGGAGAAAACAAAGTCCCCTTACCTTGAAATACCAGAAGAGCACCAGCAGCCAATGTGAGAAGAAATAAAGTGAATAGTATCCAGAAGGCAGGGAGCCACGGAGATACATGTGGAAAAATAGCACCTTTGAAAAGAAAATATCTGAGTGTCACCTGGAAATACACAATCTTTCATGTAAATTTGACTTCCCACCCAAAGAGAGAAACAGTCACAGCTCTACATTGTCAAGCAGAACCTGCCTTCTCTAGGGATGGGTACAGCATCCAGGGCACGAAGGACCTGTCTCATGTCACACTGAAACCTGTCCTTGCTGCAGTGACATATGGAGGTCTGGGATCCATCTGCCTAGACTGGAGAGCTATCATCTTCCCTGCATTGCAATCATAGAATGGTTTGGGTTGAAAGGACCTTAAAGTCGACCCAGTCCCACTTTGTGCCATGGGCAGGGACACCTTCCACTAGACCAGGTTGCTCAACGCCTCATCCAGCCTGGCCTTGAACACTTCCAAGGATGGGATATCCACAGTTTCTCTGGGCAACCTGTCCCAATGCCTCCCCACCCTCTCTAGGGAGAATTTCTTCCTGATGTCCAATCTCAATCTTCCCTCTTTCAGTTTAAAGCCTTGTGCTATCACTACAGGCCCTTGTAAAAAGTCCCTCTCCAGCTTTCTTGTAGCCCCTTCAGGTACTGGAAGGTGCTATAAAGTCTCCCCGGAGCCTTCTCTTCTCCAGGTTGAACAAGCCCAATTCTTTCAGCCTTAAGAAAGACCCTTGAGGGATCTCTCTCAGTCACTATGAATTGATCATGACATCAAGACTTTCTGAAAAGCTGCTCTTCAAGCTATGCACCCACCGCAACAGTGAGCTGTGGGCAGATGTTTCTCCATTGTTACTCCGCACTTTGCTCATGACAACTTCCCCCATGGAGATTAACATGCTTTCACTCTATTTAAATACAGCTCAAACACCTCCATGCAAGGAAAAAAAAAAAAAAAAGTGATCACCAACCACCCTCCTTCTCCTCTCCACTTCAGAACAACATAGATCCAAATTTATCTTCTATTTGATCCATCCAGTCGTATTTTGTCAACTGATTAAACTTGGATGCTTTGTTGGACAAGTTTCTCAAATTGTTTGCCTACTACTTCAAGCGCTAGACTCTTTTCCTGGCCTTACAAGGCTTTAAGGATGAGTACAGCAACGAATTCTCGGACAATGTGACTCACTTGAGAGGAGTACAGTAATATTCTTCTCAGTCTGCACCAGAGAGTTCAAGATTTGACAGGTGACTTGTCCCACTTCCTCTCCTGTAACTGTGACTCGACTCAGAACACTGAAGAGTTGCTTGCTGTCCTGGTGTATCGCAGTCTCTGGAGGCAGCCACTTTTTACTCTGAGTAACCCACTGAACAGTAGGTTTGGGAAACCAGCCATGTGATCTGCAGGCGAGCTCGATCCCTTGCCCTCGGGGGCCTAGTATTTCAAAGAATACTTCACTGGTACCTTAAAGGCAAGGGAGTTTGTTACTGGGAGCAGTGTGTTTCCATGAAAACAGCTCTACCCTCGATTCACAGCTCTCACTTAATCCAAAGTTTGGTGCAATTTCCTGCAAGTTTCTCTCAGTCCTTAACCCAATCCTTAAAATGGTCTTTCTGAGATCCCAAACTGTATATATGCCAACTTCTCTGACTGAGAAAAAGCCACACTGTGGGATGGGTTTGTGTCTCTGCTCCCCACTATTTCTTGGAGCAGGCAGAGAGATGATGTGTGGCTTTATAGCCCCTTTTTAGTATGAATCTGTAGGAACCTCATCCAAGTTTGAGGAGTTGGAAAGCAGAAAACAGCACAGTAAAGTATGCTCAGCTTTTTCCCTGGCATATCTCTAGTTCGTACTAGCACTAAAGGGTGGGCATAACTGGCCATTACATCAGGACGGCACCAAAGCTGCTCCACTGTGCCGATGTGGGATGCACCATATATGCTTATCTAAGTCAGACTCAGAGCCTGAGCTGGATTTTATACTGGTCAATAGTACGAAATGGGCACCAGCTAGAAGCTTTTGTCTTTCCGACCCCAAAAAGCCTGTCTAATCTACTTTGGATGAGGGGATGCTGCTTTCCATCAGCGAGTCCTGGCTGACCAGATATTACAGATGCCTCTACACCAATGATGCCTACTGTCCAGCTGGGAGGTGAACAGTGATTATTGCAGCTACCCAGCCCCACGCATGCCACAACAGGGCTTAGGCTAGGGATGAAGTCTGCAGAACACCTTTTGGCATAGGAACTCACCCCAGTTTTTTGGCATCTTCATCAAACTGTTCCTGCACGTTCCATTTCACCATGCAATGCTACTGCCTTTGAACATGCATGCTGAAATCCAGGACTTGTCTCTCCTGGAAAATTCAGGTTTAAAGCTCCTTCCTTCACTAAAACTACAAGGGCTTCCATGACCCTCATGGGGCTGGTCAGATCACCAGTTGTCCAGGTTCCCTACTGAGTGGCAGCACAGGGGTTGGGCTTTTCTTGGTCCCTTACAGACCTCTCACTGTCTTAGAATTAATCGCATCTAATCAAATGGCAGGTCCCATGTGGCCTACCAGCTGATATGAGCAGGGAGGTGAAGTGTCGGATCATATGAGGGGGGGCATCAGCTGAGGAACAGTGTGCTCTCAGATAGCTTTTTTCTCTCTGTAGAAACTTCATCCCTTCACCCATGAAATCTCAAACCTGCAATTTTTTTTTTCCAGTCTCTGGACTTCACGAAGCAGCTGTATATTCCTTCATCTGCTGGCTGGATGTTCTTCAGTGTTAGTGACACATCACCAGTGGCAAATCCATCTGCTGGCAGTGATGTCCGCCCCAGGTATTTCTGCGTTGGATTGCCACCAAACTGCCTGTATATGCAGATAACCTCAATATGCTCATCCGTGATTTTCTTCCATTGCACTTCAATGATATCCAGTGACTTCGTGGAAGAGACATGGCAAGGAAGGATTGTGTCCTGGCCGACAGTCCCTAATACGCTGTGGGGAGACGTGACCTCAAAATTTTCTGTGGAAAGCAAACTTGGGTGAGCATCTAGATTAAATCGATTGGAAACTCTGATAATGCAAAGGACACAGAGCACTGGGACAAAGATTTATCCCTGTCCAGAGAATGGGGAACAATTAAAAGTTGTAAATATTCACTAATGTCATTGGTCCTTTCTGTTAATGCACCTTCAGGCCATGAGACAATAGATCACAACAGAAAGATGCCAAACAATGGTGGGGGAGGAAAAAAAAAAAAAAAAAAAGCTGAGGAGATCTTTTGGGGAAATTGTCAGCTGGGAAAAAACTTGGGAAAACAGAATTAATGATATGATGAAAATGGTTAACATGTTTTCCTTAGTTTTTATAGAAGTTTCTTTAGTTTTTATAAAAGATATATAAAGTGGTTTTGATTTAGAACATTCATTCAATCACTTTCTTGATTTTTTCTTTTCTCTGTGCCAAAATGGGGACTGGGAAATTGGAAAACCCAAAGTGACAGAATAGAGGGAGAAACTAGGCTATAGAATGGGATTATTTTGGGGAAAAGGAAAAAAAAAAAGCTTAAAAGAATGTATAGAGACATTTCATTCAGCTTCCCAGCCTGCCTTAGCCCTTTCCAACCCTGTGTCATCAGCAGTGGGGCAGCTGTGCTAATAAAAACTTCTCGTGCAAGCAGGGAAATGTTGTTGGCAGGGGTAGGTATGGCAGATCTGTGTTGGGTTAGGGCTCCTCCATCTCCACCAAGGCATGGAAACTCACGCTGGAAAGGGGTGGATTCCCCAACAGCAGAATGGAAGGGCAGCTCTGGCTCTATAGAGTTAAACTGAGGTCTTCTCAGGAGGCCATGACCCTCAACCTGAACAATTCTTATCATCTGCAGACTTTAATCCCTCAGAAATAAGCAGAATAGCATATGAAAGCATTACCTGAGAGAGGGATGGCTGTAAGCAGAGCCACAGAAAACAAGAGCCATCTCCCCTGTTCCATATCTGCAGTCACACATGTGGGTCAGTCACACAGCTGACCTGAAACAGGCACAGAAGGAAAGTAAGCAAAGGGAAATTCTGTCCTAAACCCACCTGATGTCTCTCAAATGGCACTTGCCATTGGCTGTGCCTTCAGAAGGGGCAAAGAGCTCAAGCAGTTGAGTTTAGACATCAAGAAAACTTGTGCCTTTCCAAACATCTCAATTAATATTGCAGCTTCTGGAAATCTCTTGCAGTCTGACATGTTCCCATGAAGTCATGACAGGTTATGCAAAAGAGAAAAATTCAACCCAGCCCCCACTGCTTGCTGCAAAATTAATTAACACCTTAATTAATTAACGACTTAATTAACACACCAGCTTAAATCTCTGGTCTGGGTGGCATGAGTCTCTCTGTCTATGCTCTGAGATGGGAGAGAAAGGAGCAAGAAGCTTTGTTTACCCACTCTTGTGTTTGGAGGATGGGGAAATTTTTCAGTTTGCTAACCTGATGGCACTGCTCCCTGAAAACCATCAGACTGTGAGCGATAGTGCATCAGCTCTGACACGGACCTGTTGTAATTTAGGGACCTGCACCAGGGTTGGTTTTGTTGAACTACACTCAAAAAATTGCCCTTTTCTGTCTCTGGCCCTCCTTGTGGACTTTGACAATTCTGGTATGTTGTTGACTGTCCTTATCTCAGTCCACACAGCAATGTTTTTGATGCGTTATCTTTATGATTTTATTAGTATTCAGTATGCCATGTTTAGTGAGCAGCAAGAAAGGAAAGGCACCCTGATGACTTCCAAGCGGCATTTAATTGCCCTGCAGTGTCTGGATATATCCCAGAGACGGTGGCCAACAGGTCTGATGTGAATAAATTGGGTGCTGTTACAACAGGCGCGATGGTGTGGCAAGTCAGATAGCCAGTCTACCTTTTTCTGGATTAATTCTTGTGCTGGGAAGGCGGCTGCCATGTTTGGCCAACTGGGTAAGTACAAATGGGATAACAGGGGAAGGATTCAGTTCAGCTGGTTTTAAGCATAAATTCTCCCTCTTCACTTGCTAAAGAAAGATGGAGGCTCCTGGATGTATTTCATCCAACTAGACATAGACAACTACTGTTGGGGTTAATCTCTGTTCATCTTTGATATCCATGACACAGGCTTTTTCCTCTGAGCTTGTTGCTTTCAGCTCTGTTTACTGTACATGGAGGTAAATGGGCACTGTTAGGTCTCACACCATCCAAGAAGCCGCAGGTCTTAAGGTGAGATGACCACAGCCCTAGGTCCACTGACTGCATCACCCACAACTCCGTAAACCCCCACGGGCAGGTCGGAGCAGCAAATGTGATGCTTCAACTATAGTTTAGAAGCTGTCATGTTAAATTCTGCTTTTTCTTCTCTCTGTGCGTTTTCACGGACATGCATTAAGTTGGTGCTCTGTAAGCCATTATCACGTGAGGGTATATGAAATTTTGTTGGAAACGTTCACTTAGGTGTATAATATGGGGAAGGGATTAATCTTGCTTGGACATAAGGGAGTTGCTAGAGGTCTCCAGGGCTGGTTTAGATACTGTTTGGGTTAGGATAGTAAAACAAGCATTTGAGGGGAGCAAGGCAGATATGACACAGGACTGATAGAAACCTGTTCCCACCTAGATGAGTAGCTGGAGGCTTAGCAATGCAAGATGTCACAGGACTCCTGTACTTGGACGTCTCCTAGATGTGTTCACTGTCCATCAAATCTTATAGGTCCATTTGAAATCCCCAACACCCTCCAACCTACTTCAAACTCTACCCAAGCCTGAGATAACTTGCAGTGATGAGACTGGATACATCAGAGCACAGAATGTAGGACAGGATGTGCTGGTTTGGGCTGGGATAGAGTTAATTTTCTTCTTAGTATGAGGCTGTGTTTTGGATTTGTGCTGGGGAGAATATTTTGCAACGTACTAAAGTTTTTAGTTGTTGCCAAGCAAAGTTTACATTAAGCCAAGGACTCTTTCAGTGTCTCATGCTGCACCTGTGTTCACCAGCTTCTTGTAGAGAAGAAACTGGGAGGAGAGACAGCCAGGACAGCTGACCCAAACCGACCAAAGGAATATTTCATACCCGAAAGCGTCATGCTCTGCGTACAAGCTGAGGAGTTGGCTGGGGTGAGGATAGTGGCTCGGGGAGTGGCTAGGCACTTGTCAGTGGGTGGTGAGAAGTTGTATCGCTTTTGTTGTTGTTTTCCTTTTCATTACATATTATTGTCATTAGTAGTGGACTCAGCTCAGCCTTTGCCAATGGGGCAACCCCTCACAGTCACGGGAGAGCGTCCTGCTCCTCTCCTGCCCCGGCATGACAGGAAGGGGAGAGTGGTGGTGCCAGATATAATCCAGAGCTGCAGCTGAGCAATGCAATGATTTCTTTATCATGACATTTGATGGATGGCAGATCAGGATGTCCCCTGATTTTTGTATTATTGTCATTAGTAGTAGTGGTATTTTCCTTACATACTATTATCAGTAGTAGTAGTGTCACTATTTTATTTCAATTATTAAACTGTTCTTATCTCAACCCATGTGTTTTCTTACCTTTTTTTATCCTCGAAGTCTCTCCCCCATCCCACTGGTGGATGAAGAGGTGAGCAAGCAGCTGTGTGGTGCTTAGTTGCTGCCTGGGGTTAAATCCCAGCACAGGAACATCTGGATGAATGGGTTCCAGCCAGAACATGTTGACACCTTAGACACCTTGTTTAGTGACACTGATACTTCTGCTGACAAATGTCCTGTTTTTTCTTAAATGTAACTTAAAACATTTTCTGTCATCCAAGAAGGCTCAAAAAGAAAACTCATGTCTAAGAACTCATTATTTGATACTTCAGAGATCAAAACCACATTCCCAACCCAGCTGAACGTTTTTCAGAAGAAAACATGAAAATATGCTATTAAATAAAAAATAACCCAAACCAACCCAACCAGTTCCTCTTAGTTCCCTAGGGCTCCACGTTCAGCACTGTTAAACAGACAGTTTTTCTGTTAAACAGAAAATACATGATGCATTTTCACTAAAATCAATAATCATTGTGACATTAGAAGGGTAGAAAATGGAGTTGGTTTAACACTGACACTGCAACATGTATGAAATCCACAAAGATCATTGTCTTTTTTTACCCCTTAATCATAATTCTAGAACATCCAATGTCATGATGACTTGACTTTTGCTGCATTATAGGCTGACAACCTCAATCATTCAAGGTACTAATCAGGAAATGTAAAACATTACTACTCCTGCAGATGCAATTAACGCCCTGGGTGTTATGATAATTATTGTCATCCTGAGTTACCATAATATCAAGGTAGTTTCATACTTTTTCAGCTTGCAACAAAAGCGTTTCACGTGGATGTACTTCATCAGCCTTACTTTGCCCCAGGGGGAGCCCTGGGCACAACAGTCCTTTTCAGAGGGGCAATGTAGTCCTTGTCTCCTGCCCTGCATCCTCCCCTTCAAAGTCATACCGGGAAAGCACAGCCAGCCCTTACACTGCTCATGGTTTAACCTCAGCTGGCAATTAAGAACTGCACAGGTGCTCACTCACCTCCCCCCACTCCAATGGAGGAGGAGAACTGGGAGAAAAGACAAGGAAGATTGTGTGTTGATATAAGAACAATTTAATAATTGAATATAAATTAATAGTACAGTGATACTAATAATATTAACAATGTAATGAAGATAGAACAAATGCTACCATTGTTCACCACTCTCCAGCTGATACACAGCCAGGTAATGAGTAGCCAGAGTCAGAGAGCCCCAGAGCCCGAGACTGAGAGCAATTGTAGCAGAGTCCAAGTGAGCCCCATGAGCGACAGCACAACTGGGAAAGCCAAGCAACCCACCAACTCTCTAACGAATGAACGAGCTAACACATGAACAAACGAGCAAGCTATGTATCTAACAAACAAGCGAGCTATAGCCCCCTGTCCCACTGCCTGCTTATGCACTAAGCGTGACGTGCTGTGGAATGAAATACTCCCTTGGTAAGTTTGGGTCAGCTCTCTGAACTGTGT